CTCGTTTTACTAGCGGGCCGCGCTCGTTTTTGAGCTATGCGCATTTCGTGTCGCAGGCCTGAGGCATCCGGGAAATTTTGAGGTCTAAAACGCTGTTTTGAGCTGCAGGTGCTGGACATCTGGCACTTTTTCATCCGCGTGGCAGGCGTGGCATTTTCTAGGCGTTGCTAAAACGTTGGCAGGCGTGGGTCAAAATTAGAGGTCGTTTTTGGAAGCCATTTTGTGTGGCCGGCGCACTATTTGGCGAATTTGAGCGGCTAGAAAGCTTCGTTTTGTGAAACTGTCATTTTTGATTTCGGACATGATGATGATTCGGTGTGGCAAGTGCAGCACTTCAGATTCCTCCGGCTCCTTTTTGCAAAAAGAAACGGAACCTCGGTAAAACATCGGCTTTGACATTTTCAATGTTCGTTTTTCGTGGTGTGCGCAATGTTTTGTAAAAATCTATTTTGTGCTCGCGCAAGACTCTCGTGACTTTGGGCGTGTCGGATCGCTCTCGTTGTGGCGCGGTGCGAGTTTGGATCTCGCTCGCGCAACCGTTTCGGCACTTTGCACGTGGCAGATCGCTCTCCTTGTGGCACGGTGCCAATTTTGATATCGCTCGCACAACCTTCTCGGCACTTTGTGCCTGTCAGGTTGCTCTCGTTGTGGCGCGGTGCGAATTTGGATCTCGCTCGCGCAACCGTTTCGGCACTTTGCACGTGGCAGATCGCTCTCCTTGTGGCATGGTGCCAATTTTGATATCGCTCGCACAACCTTCTCGGCACTTTGTGCCTGTCAGGTTGCTCTCGTTGTGGCGCGGTGCGAATTTGGATCTCGCTCGCGCAACCGTTTCGGCACTTTCCACATAGCAGATCGCTCTCCTTGTGGCACGGTGCCAAGTTTGATATCACTCGCACAACCTTCTCGGCACTTTGTGCCTGTCAGGTTGCTCTCGTTGTGGCGCGGTGCGAATTTGGATCTCGCTCGCGCAACCGTTTCGGCGCTTTGCACGTGGCAGATCGCTCTCCTTGTGGCACGGTGCCAATTTTGATATCGCTCGCACAACCTTCTCGGCACTTTGTGCCTGTCAGGTTGCTCTCGTTGTGGTTCGGTGCGAATTTGGATCTCGCTCGCGCAACCGTTTCGGCACTTTGCACGTGGCAGATCGCTCTCCTTGTGGCACGGTGCCAAATTTGATATCGCTCGCACAACCTTCTCGGCACTTTGTGCCTGTCAGGTTGCTCTCGTTGTGGCGCGGTGCGAATTTGGATCTCGCTCGCGCAACCGTTTCGGCACTTTGCACGTGGCAGATCGCTCTCCTTGTGGCATGGTGCCAATTTTGATATTGCTCGCACAACCCTCTCGGCGTTTCGGCACTTTTGTGCCTTGTCAGGTTGCTCTCGCTGTGGTGCGGTGCGAATTTGGATCTCGCTCGCGCAACCGTTTCGGCACTTTGCACGTGGCAGATCGCTCTCCTTGTGGCACGGTGCCAATTTTGATATCGCTCGCACAATCCTCTCGGCACTTTGTGCGTGTCAGACCACTCTCGCTGTGGCGCGGTGCTGATTTTTGATTCTGTGAGATCCTGGTAAAGAGATCTGATCAGGTCCTTCTATGACGATCTTGCAAGAGTTTGATGGCGCAGTCCCTAATATATGAAGATCTTGACCAAGGTGTTGTAAAGGTCCGTATGAGAAGGTGTTGTGAAGATCCTGATGAAACCCTCTAAGAGGTCCTTGCATGATTTTGCCTCCGGGTGGACAACCGAACGTGTAGCTGTCACTATTTTGATTGTCTAACATCTTGGGGTGGGGTGGGTAAGGTGGGGTGGGGTATCATCGTCCTTGGTGCGTTATTGGCTTCTCTAACATCTTGCACGGGGTGGGTGAGCATCTCTTGTAAGTTATCTTCCAACTACGTTGTTATCTCGTTTACAGTATTAACTTCCAACTACGTTAGCATCCCGTGTAAGACATCTTCCAAGTACATTGTTATCTTGTCTATCAACTTCCAGCTACGTTAGCATCCCAATGGCGCTGGGAATCCCTGAAACACGGAAATATCCTCATGTCTCTGACTGGCAAGACCTTGGCACAGATGTGACCACACTGATGTCACCAGCTCTGCAAAAAAAATCGCCGCTTTCATGTGCAAAAACTATGGCCCCACTGTCACCTTGTGAAATGACCCCAAAAAATAGAGTACTTTTCTGGGTGTGAAATGTCAAAATTTGATGGCCCGCGCACAGAAAAGCAATAAAACCAATGGAAATGAGACGCAAACTTGACAAAAAGAAATGAAATCCATTGCAAAACGCAAAACGACACAGAATCCACAAACATTAAAAAGGCAACGCCGCCACGTTCAATTACCCACCCGGCGGGATGACTTTGTAGAGGTCCTTGTGAGAAGATCTTGCGAAGATCCTGCTGAAATCCACAAAGAGGTCCTTGCATGATCTTGCACAGGTCCTTATGAGAAGATCTTGTGGAGATCCTGGTGAAATGCCATCTTGCATGATCTTGTACAGGTCCTTGTGACAAGATCCTGTGGGGATCTTGGTGAAATCCTTTCTAAGAGGCTAGCATTATCTCGGACAGGTCCTTGTGAGAAGAGCTTGTGGAGATCCTGTTTAAATCAGCCTCAAGAGGTCCTTGCAGTAAGATCTTGAAGATGCTCTGCATTGGTGCTTGTATGAAAGTTCTTCTCGGATGTTCATAGAAAGTTCTTCTATGAGGATCTTGTGAGATATAGAAGGTCCTTCTTTGACAATCTTTTGAAATTCTCTTAGATGTCCTGGTATTAGGTTCTGGTATGAGGTCCTGATGAGTAGACAGCGTTGCTTCTTGCGCCCCAAACAAATATATACTGTCTCACCTGATCTGTTACTGTTCCATAGATACTGTTGCTTGCACCTGGTACAATGACTTCCTACCCCGACCCTGTTTGGCGTCTCTTGCTGCTATATTGTTTTTGCGAAGAATCTGTGGACATCTGCCATCTGCTATCATCTGCCGAGACCCGCTGGCCTCCAAGAGATCTTCTGACAGATCTTCCAGCAGCACATGGTGACATGCCAACAATCGAAGATCTAAGGCTTCCAGCACCTGCAGTCGGCCATGAAATAAGATGACTTGCCACCCACAATAGCCAACTCGAATTTAGCAAATCCCGCCCCAAGAATAGATGAAGCTATGAGTTCCAGAGACTACGGGAGGCTATGATGTGAAGGGGTCCCCCAGTGTTTTTCAGCATTCAAAGCTGGGGACCTATGAGACATTCAGAGTGGCATTCAGAACATCTACAATCTACAAATGACCTGACTGAATTTTATCCTGCGACCCCATGTGGCCACAGGTCGAAGTAGTGCATTTGAAATCATCTTTCCCTCGTCCTTCAACTTCAACTGCCATTTGAACATGCATCTCGTGCTACTGCCACAGGCTCACAAAACACAATCGCCCACACAGCCTGATTCCGACTCTCACCTGCCAGATAGTTACGAATCTGCTGCGCCAAATAATCCTGGCCGAAGGCAATTCCAGTGCCGGACTCACTAAGGCTATCGACTCTCCAAGTCACTTGCAGCTATTTCTATGGGCCTCAGAGTATTGAATCTGTATTTCAGCTAGCATCTATCCACGTGGATATGAATGTGTATATTATATCTATCTATCTATCTATCTATCTATCTATCTATCTATCTATCTATCTATCTATATATAAATACATATGTATATATATATATACATATATATATACACATATGTATATATATATATACATAATGGACATATACGCATTTACATAAAGACATCAACAAACACATACGCACATATCTAGATACATACATACTCATATACCCGCATACACACGTATCCATATACACACATACACACATACCAACCAATCAACCAACAACTGCAAACGGACCACAAACGTCCAAGCGCTTCCCCATGCAGTCAGTCCCCTGCACAAGTACTAAGACCCTTACGCTGCCCTTAAAAGACAGCGAATAAGGCTGCAATTCGTCACCAATGCACGCTACTCGTCAGGGGCAGCGACGACGTGCAAAGGCGGCGCTGCCCGACACAGCAAGCAGAACAACAACAGCCAGCCCAAAAACTCCCCACCGCCCCGACGCCACACCCCCACACACCCAAACAACCAACAACTGCAAACGGACGGCAAACATCCATCCATCCATCCATCCATCCATCCATCCATCCTGCATCCATGCATCCATGCATCCATGCATCCATGCATCCATGCATCCATGCATCCATGCATCCATGCATACTTACACACGTACACACGTACACACGTACGCACATACGCACGTACGCACGTACGCACGTACGCACGTACGCACGTACGCACGTACGCACGTACGCACGTACACGTACACAGACATACATACACACACACACACATGCACACATACACAAATACGCAAATGCGTCACATACACACAGACAGATACGGATACGAATACCAATGCAGATTTGGGCACATAGAACATGATTGTACCTATAATAATATGATAACATGTGTTTGTGATTACGTATTCGTGTGTGTGTGTGTGTCTGTGTGTTGAAAATGTATGGTGGACTGTACAACGCGGCAGGCACTCTCTCTGAACCCTGTGACTGAACGGATTGATCATCCTTGGCTTTTCAGATTTGCAAAGATGCTGTTATGGATGATGTGAATTATGTACATATGTGCTTCTACTTTGGGGGGGTTAAGGTCTCAGACATAAAAAATCATACAAAGAAGGCTAGGGCGGCCCTGATCGATGACAAACTCTGCGGTTTGAGAATGGAAGCGTCAAAAATCAAGATCAACAACCTAAGCGTCCAAAGCTACCCGAAAAAAAAAGACCCAAATTCTAAAGCATCTGCCGATCTGTGGGCCGTGCGGCACCTGTGTGTAGCCGCTGTTTTTCAACTGCCCACACAGACTCGACACGCTCTGGGACTCTCTCTCCCCACTTTCAACCTCTCGAAGGACGGCCTCGCAGGTCGTAGCAGGTCGTAGCAGCTTAGAAATGATGTTCACCCGAAGTATGGAGGCTAAAATTCTGGAAATTACTGGAATCAAAGTGTTCTTTTATCAAAATATGGCCAGTATGGCAGTGAATGTTGAAGGGATCAAAGAGGGTCGATACGACATGAGACCTCACCGGGAAGACAGATGGAAAACAGAAAAGGAAAAACGACTAACCACGATCACCCAAAATGGCACTCAATTCAAGGGAAGCGAAACCAACAAACCTTGGGTGCTCTTGATGCCGTCGGTTCATTGCGCCACGTAGCAATGATGAAGTATATGATTACGATTGATTACGTAATGAGGAGTCCACTTCTATATATCTTTGGTTGTTTTTCCTGGTTTGGGTGCCATTCAGGCCCGTTGCAGGATGAAATTCCATTGCCCTCAGCACCCATACCCTTCTGGTAGGCATTTGCTCCTACACCCTCTGTCTCTTCACACTAGCCCTCCTTCTTGTCAAATTTCATTTCCGCTGTGCGTGTGTGTTTATGCATTTGAGGCCTCAAAATGGGTGTTTGCTCCAACACCAGGGCCTGAAGTCTCTTCAGGCTCCGCTTTGGTCCTTCCAAAGAATGCAATGGCACCGGCAGCCTGAGTAACAAAATGTGACGCACACTGACCACTTGGGCCCTCTGAGAAGTCTAGGGAAGCATTTGGTTGTTGAAGCAAACCCAAAATAGCACCGGTGGTGGCGCACCAATATTCAAGCGCGATTTGTCAGACTGCCTCCCTGACAGTTCTTCACATTTGGTCTGTTTGTGTTGATCCAACACATGTGCTACAAGAAACTGTTTTCATGATGGAAAACATGTGTCATATGTTTGTCAAAATTGTGCAGTGTCTACATTACCAAGCACTGCGTTCAGAAAAAACAAAGATCCAAGGCAACATGTGAAAACCCGCATGCATAGAATGTGTTTGAAGTTCGCAATAATTGCAGTCTGCATCAAACGGCCTGCTCTCACGTAGCTTCACAAGTTTTTCGTCCGGCCCCACCAGGGCCCACACGAATCATGTTGATCATGCAAAGGCGCAACGGATCGCGGCCATATTGATTCAACCACCTCGGATCCACAGATTTCAAATTCTATGTTCCAAATCCCCTTACTCAATCATTTTTTTTTGTCCGAATCGGGCCTCCCGGATCCCAAAAGGTTGGGTCGTTCCCAGAAATTCAACTGACCAAAATGATCTACCCCAGAATCTACCCCCTTTGTTGCACCTAAATTCACTTTTTCTTTTCAACACAAATTTCCACGTTCTGACCATCTGATCTGGGGAGGCCTCAAAATCAACCCATCGGGTGTTTGCTCCCACCCGAAGCCTGAAAACTGTTTGGGCTGTGCTTTGGTCTTTCCAAAGAATGCAATGGCACCGGCAACCTGAGTAACAAAATGTCAACGCACACTGGCCCCTTGGGCCATCTGAGAAGTCTAGCGAAGCATTTGGTTGTTGAAGCAAACCCAAAATAGCACCGGTGGTGGCGCATCAATATTCAAGCGCGATTTGTCAGACTGCCTCCCTGACAGTTCTTCACATTTGGTCTGTTTGTGCTGTTGATCCAACACATGTGCTACAAGAAACTGTTTTCATGATGGAAAACATGTGTCATATTTTTGTCGAATTTGTGCACAGTCTACATTACCAAACACCACATGGAAAAAAAACAAGGATCCAAGGCAACCTGCGAAACCCCGCATGCATAGAATGTGTTTGAAGTTCGCAATAGTTGCAATCTGCTCTTACATACGTTCACAAGTTTTTTGTCTGGCCCCACCAAGGCCCACACGAATCATAATGTTCATGCAGGGGCGCAACGGATCGCGGCCTTATTGATTCAACCACCTCGGACCCACAGATTTCAAATTGTATGTTCCATGTTTTTTCATTCGAAAAAAATCAATTCAAGGATGAGGACGCTTCGTCAGTTGAGTTTATGGGTTCCGACGTGCTGTAGATGCAAAATGCTGCAATAATTTCAACCGAAAATCAAATAATTACATTTGTTTGTTGAAGTTCCTATGTGTTGTCAAAGTAAGAAAATCATAGAAAATAAATTTTGTCTGATTAGGTGGGCGGAATCAACAATTTGTGTCCAACATGTTGGGGTCGACAATCTGCAAAGGAACTCATCATTCATTGCATCAAAGACTCATTGGTGCAAATCCGAAATTTGGCCTGCACACAAAAAATTGCAACATGATTGGCACAATAGTTGTTGAATTGATTTTTCCACAGTTGCCACGACCATGATTTGGAAAAAAACGAACATTTCATGGAACAAACATAATGATTTGTGCAACAATGAATCACCACATGTGTTTTGAATGCATTCTGAAACAACAAGTATAGGCGGGCAACGCATTGGATAGTAAGATGCCAGCAATATTCAAAACCCCAATTCAAAAATGACCAAAATGTTGACCGAAACATTGATGATTCGGACAAACACAATTCCTTGCCTTGTTTTGGACACGTCGGGTCAATGCATAACACATTTTTCGCCATACTTAAATCCACGTCACACATGTGACATTTCGCACAATTCGAGAGACAGTGCCCCTTCAAAAATTGCCCACGTACAATTCTGGCATGCACACAAACCATTGTTTCTGGTGATGTGTCCCAACTGAACAATGGTTTGGTGATTGTATGTGGTTTTTGTTTCCGCATGTGGCGGTGTTTCTGTGACAACCACCTAGACTCTTGCAATAAAGTATTGCAACATTTTCTGTTGTTTTCCCAAAATGTACCTAACAAACCAGTGTTGAAATCAGCGTTTGCACGCCATGTCAATGTTCTGCGAAATCTGGATGTTCAATGTCACGGCATCAATGGGCGCGCAGATGGACGAATTGAAACTAAAAAATCCAGGGTGGAAAAACAACATGATTACGAATTTCGCACTGCTTTGCAAAACAAATAAAGTAAATATCCCTTGTGCCACAACCCACATGCAATACAAAAAACACACACACAAACCGGAAAATAAAAAAAAAACACAACATTTGCTCAAATCACAACGTCCAAATGCACCGAAAACAAACACAAAACAATGATTGTCCCGTTTAGCTGCGGGTTTGGAGTCACGGTGATTTTGTGGTTTTGTTTATGTTGCCCCTTTGGCGCAATCCAAATTTATGAACCCACGTCTTATCTTCCAACAAAGTGCGGTTGTCTTGTGAAAACTCAAACAAACTGTGTGTCAAAGCGCAGGCTCCCAGGGGTATATCCCAGGTGCCATCAACAAACTGCTAGGGTTAGACCAGAAAGAAGAGAAAGAGACATGGAAGAATGTGCGGGTGGGACAAGGGTGGGAGCACATGCGCCCCCATGTTACTTGACATCAGAATGGCAACCCACACAACAAATATTCAGACTCTTCCTTCGGAACTCTGTAACTTAAAAAACAACGGGTCTGTTTAGTTGTTCGTTTCCACCAGTTTTAGGGAAACACAAAAACTGAAACTAAACAGAGTTTTCACAGATTTGACAACGGCGACGATTTCGCAAACCGAAAACAGTTCACACTTGACAACAGCCGCGAAAACAATTCAACCGCAACAAAGGTGCACAAACAACACGTAACAACAACCGCGTCGCACTACGTTCAGTTACACCACCGTGCAACTTCGCACGGGGAAACGATTTACAGATAAAGCATCATCTACTAAAGCAGAAAATTGTTTATCTTCCAACAATTTCCAAAAAGTGCGGCCTAAACACAAAGCACAACATGCAAGTGCGGTTGTCTTGTGAAAACTCAAACAAACTGTGCGACGCGAAAGCGCGCGATCCCAATCAAACCAAAGAACTGATTCCAATTCCGGCTTCCACGCGCGTTCGGGCGTTCTCATGAATGCCATCTGTGTCAAAAAAATCGTAGGCACAAATTTTACAAATCTATGAATACGCCGCCACAAAACAAAAAAGAACCTCGCATCGAAAACTCTCATGGAAAATGCACTCAACAGACCAAAGCAACCCTTTTTCCAACTACGCTTTGAGTAGGTCGGGGTAGCCATCACCACCCCAAGTGGACATTCAACCACCTCGCCGTCCCATCAAAGCACAGTGCCTGCACCCAGTCGGATGCACAGGTCAAAGTCGAGGCGAGAAGGCCCATCCGCCGAATTGCTGGCTGTGGGTACTCTCCTGAAGTGGGGACACTCTCATCCAACGTGCATGCTTTGAGTCGCACCTTTCATATCACCTCATAAACTATTGTGAATTACAATGTGTTTCACTGTGCGTTTCACTGCGTTACACAGCGCCGTGCGCGTTTCACTGTGCGTTTCACTGCGTTTCACAGCGCCGCGCGTATTTTACTGCAGTCCAAAGGCGTGGAGGGAGCTGTTGGGTGGCTAACCGAATGACAGACCGGTTCTAAACACCAATAGGTATTTTTTTCCGTCCAACGCCGCATAGCTTCCGCCAGGTCGTTCAACATGTTTCCAAGCATGTTGCATATGAGATTAATTAATTAATTCACGCAGAGGCCGATGTAGGGCCGCAAAAGTAAACTGGTAGAGGACCGATACATAGTCCTATTCTCCACAGGAGTTCACCTTTACGACATATCTAAACCACCTCTATCATCAATTCCTTGTGACAAGGTATGGCTGGAGACCAAAACGGCTTAGAGGAAAACAACATCAGCACTTTCATCTGCGAGTCAGGTTCTTTCCTCAAATTGTGCGCTAGTCTGTATAGAAGCATATGTTCTCCCTGATGTCGCGAAGTTCTTTGTCAGCATCTTCCTTTGGCTCCTGAAAGCATCTAATTACGCCTGCGAGCTCTTGTTGTGCATCACCGAGTTCTCGCGCCCGTTTCATTGCGTAGTCAGAGCTCATATGCGGGAGCTGCTTGCTCTCGACCGTTCTCCACAAAAGCACTGCAGGCTGCATTGTGTTGGGTGACAATTTGTACATGTGGAAGTCAGTTGGCATCCCTGGCTGGTAAA